AAATTTACAGTTTATTTTTTTTATTTTATTAACTAATTTCAAAGTCTATTGTTCTATATGTAATAACTAACCGACTGTATCTATGGTAACATTTAAATTTTAAAAGAAAAAGATATGGTATGACAATCGAGATTGTTTAAATTCAAAAGAACTATCAATCCTGTTGTAGAAAATGTAGGCAGTAAGATTATTCGTGTAGTTTGATTCTTTGATCCTAACAACAAGTATAATTAATAAATAAATTACTGTTTTTCTTTTAAGGGATAGATAGAAAGAAAGAAAACAAAGTTTATTGATTACCTTTTAATAAACAGGTTTTAAATTCTTTTTGATTTCCAATAAAGTAAACATGGGGTGTTTGGTTTATTATTAAAGGATCTTCATCTTGGAATGGATAACAAACTAATATAAAATTATAAAATTAAAATCATTTCAATTTGGTAAATTAATAATAAAATACAAAATCTAAAAATTTCTTTAGTACATAGAGTATCAGGTGCAGTTGGTGCAATATGTCTCCAATATAAAGTTTTCTCAGCAAATAAAAGTCTATCATCACATTCTACATATCTAAAAATATCATCGATTGTTTGACCTGATGTGCCTAAAAATCTATTGAAACATACATTTAATTAATTTATGTGATTTTATTTTTTTCTAAAAAATAAAATTAATATATTAAATAACTTGCAAAAATTTATCCAATTGGAACAAATAAGGATTCGTTACACAATTAAAATTTGAGTTTTGATGAGCTTTTGTGAATAAATTGACTTGAATTGGTTGTTGTGGAAAAGTTGTATTTGTTGGATCATTGGCTCCTGGCATTAAATCTAAGGGAGAAGCCATATACAATGGCATCAGATATATATAGTTTTGGAGTTCTGATGTCTGTAATATCAACTGGTCAACAACCTTTTAATAATTTGGCACATGACCTAGATCTTGCAATGAAAATATGTGAAGGTGTAAGACCAGGATTTTCAAACAACACACCAAAATTCTATATTGAACTAGCATTCAGATGCATGGATGCTAATCCAGATAAACGTCCAACTGCTGAAGAAATTTGTAAGATTATTCGTGATTGGTTTAATTCATTAGAATTTAAGGAAATGGATAAAATAAAATTTGACCCTTCAACAATTACTGCAACAATTCATCCAAATGCTGTTTACACTAGCAGATTATTAAAATTTACAAGCCTTCCCCAGCCTGTGAATTCCAATAAAGTGACAATTATTGGTAATAATAATGGTAATTATTCATTGATTATTTTCATTTTTTATTGATTTTTAAAATTATAATTTATTAATATCTCTTGATAAATATTTGTAGATTCTATGCAAATTGAATTAACTATACCAGATGGATTACTTGAATAAGTTAAATTTTATCATTTTATTATGTATTTAAATTATTTATTATTTATTTTATTTATTCAGCTACTGTAGCTGTGATATTAAATATCTTGAGAAATGAAATTATAGATAATTAATTAGTTATATTTAATAGTGATATTATATATAAAGGTAATAACCTCCCACAATTGATATTTTTTCCATTTGAAATTTGGATGTCAAATATGCACATTCAATAATTTTGTTGTTGTATGATATTTGGGCTATTATATATTTAAAAGATAAAATAATCATGAGACAAAAATATTTATTTATATTACAAAAATATTATTGTGTCATATATGCTGACAAGGAAGAGAGAAGTCAACATGGCATGTTGATGTTAAGTTGAAAAAATTAATCTTTTAGAAGGAATTGTCTATTTTCAAGAGATGTTAAATTACAAATGTTCAATTTGTTTTATCCATTTTACTTGAATAAATACTGAGATAGTAAATTGGAACTGACCTGGGGCCCTGATTATTGTCAGCCATTTCCTTTTATATCCAGACGTAATCATGTAAAAAGTCATGTTATATGCAATGTTTAAACAATTAGAAATTGCTTAAGAATAATTAATCATCATTAATAACTAGTTAATTAACTAGTTCACCTTTAACACTTTTACATAAAATAATCTTTGTAATTAATTAATAAAGACAGTGTGATTTGATCCTTAATCCTTTCTAATGACTAATGGTTTGGCTAACCTTTAATTATTAGTTAGGAACCCTTTTGATTGTACTGTGTTCTGTATCGCTTGTAAGGACACCTCAAATAGCATAGTTATTTATGGGTTAGTTTGACTATTTGGATTGTGTCAGATGCAAAAGACCCCTTTTGGCCATGATCTAGGCTGTGTGCAAAATTTAGTAAGCAACTCAGATTGCACACTCACAATATTCAATGTAATTTGAATACTCAGCTTCATAATGAATAAAACAAATAATTCTTATTTGTACAGAAACCCTACCATAACTTGATCTTTGATGCAAAGGTAGAATTATTTCAATTCATTATGATGATGATGATATTCTCTTTGGTAGCACTAATATCAGCTCTATCAACTAACTGGGGTAGATTCACCAGTTTCATCAAGCAATTGATGAAGTTTCTCTCGAAGATTTCTTGAGTAATCAATATCTAACAATTCATTGGATCTTTTTTTCTGTTTATCTATTTTATTTTTATCAACAATATTTAGCGATTATTATTATTATTCACCGAAAAATTTTCACTGGATAATTAGTGAATACTCGCGCAATTGAATGTAATTTTTTTAATACATGTAATACTATTTTATCCACTATTACACTATTATCAACACTCCTTCTATTATAACAATATAATATATCAAGTAATATAAATACCCAACTGTGTCATCGTTAGCTAAAAATATTTATGCATCGCAGCAACTTCTACTCCAAATGAACGTCTATTTAATGAAGCTGGAAATACAATGGCAGCCAAACGAACAAAATTGAATCCATCGTTATTTGAAAGGATTCTATTAAATTTATTTATCGTTATATTTTAAATAAATTTAAATCAAAGAGTATTCAACGGATATTCAGTGGACATTCGGCAGATATTCGATGAATGACCGATTATCCGGTAATGCGAATGTTCGCTTTGTTGCAGTATGCTCCATACACATGCAAAACAATTGGTATCATATTTAAAACCAAGCTTCGCATACTAGTTAATAATAAAAATTCAAAATGAAATTTTTTGAGAAGCTCATGAATAGGAATAGCATAGAATGTAATCGTTTTACAAAACCAGCAAAAAATTATTCAAATGATAATCATTCAAAACATTGCTTATAACAATTTCTTTCTTATGTTAATTATTATTATCATATTACTATCAATATTACCATCAAATATCACTACTACTCTATTAATATTGCATTACCACACTTACAAACCAACTAATTTTTTTAAAAAACAATTTTTATAAGGATAAAAAAGTATATGTCCAAGATATTATCAGAGAGAATTCCCAATTATTTTGGGAGATTGTGTATGAACGTGAAGGATATATTTATCTGTCCGGGTAAGTAAATATATAAAATAAAAAATTTATTATCAAGTGTTAGAAAATATCAAATCTGACAACCAATTTTATGCATATACATATATGTACCTTTATTATTAGAATCTAGCTTCACCTTTGAACTTTTATTACGTGCTTGAATTATGTAAATGCAAACAATTTGTAAATGAAAATTGTCATTTTATTTAAACAGTCATTGTAGGCTTTAACCAATTCATTGTTTTCAGCGATTTTATTACTGTCTAATTTACCATTTATTTCCATGTTATCATCACATTCAATACATGATGTAATATAATCATGTATGATTGCAGCTTTTGTCAAATCCTCAAGGAATATTTGATGATTTCCAGGAATTTTTTGATGAATCTTGTAAATATAAGGTTGTTGATGCTGCTGCTGTTGTATACTCTGCCTTTTTTTGCTTGTATTATTATAGTTGTTACTGAGGTTTTCATTAGATGACTCATGAGAATACTTATAATTGCTAATATTGTTTGTAATTGGCTTAGTAACAAATTGGATGATGTTCAATATTAAGTGCGATGTCTAATTATTGGATCAATGAGCTTTGACCAGCACTTCCACCACCATACTGGCGATAATAGGATTTCCATTTTCATCACATCCATCCACACCTTCATATTTCAATCCATTTGGAAATCTTCATCATTATCAAACCCTTTACTAATTTTGAACCATAATATATAATTGCGCTTTGATGGGTCACCAAGAGTACATTATTTGGAGTATCAAAATTCTAAGAAAAATTGGTGGACCACCAAGGTAAAATTATTATAGAAAGATATATAATAAAAATTATGCTTTGACGGGTCACCAAATAGGTATACTATGTGCCTCATTCTTGCATTCGAATGCAATGCATAAAGCAAAATACAGATTGCAAACAATTGTTCTTAGACGAAAACGGCTCAAATTAAGATCTGATATACTGAGTACGCGCATGAAAACGGCACAGAAAAATTGAGTTACATTCTGCCTTTGAGATTGCTTTTCCTGAAGTGCTACATAAAGTCGATAGTAAACCATGGTTCACGATAGTCACGTTTGTTACATCTTGGAACCTGAATGCAGGGTATAAATAAATATTCTTACTGTCTGATTAAACGCCCGATTTAATAGCCAATTTAATACCAAATGACAACAAAAACGCAAAATACACCTCACTTGACTGTTGTTTAAAATGCAACATAACTATATATATCTCATTAACCTGCAATCGAATGACGTCATACAAGTGAATGCATTGTCGGGATCCATATGGATACTATTTTTTACGTGGCCAGAAATCAAAAAATGGCCGCAAACGAATTTCATGATTCCATCTGGGTGGCCAAAAATTAAAAATTGGCCGCATTTTGGTTAGATTTTTTAGATCGCATAGCTTTTTAAGCTTTGAAGACAATAAAACGGCTAAAAAAGATAGTTAGATAATTAAGCAGTCCATAACGTCTGTAGACGTTATCTGATGTGTAAATAAAAAATCGAACTAAAATAAGACAAAAATGCGGCCTAAAAATGAAAAATGGCCGCTCTCGAAGGTGGCCAAAAAACAAAAATTGGCCGCTTTCGAAGGGGGCCAAAAAATCAAATTAGGCCACATAGGTAGGTAACAGTCTAACATAAGTAGGTAACAATATATATATATTGTTACCTACTGTTTTGATTGAAAGCATGTTAGGAAAATTTACATAATAACAATATCAAAAATACAATAATTATTTATAGGTCGAAGATAAGATTCGTAAGTCTTGGGTTTAGCATACCTGAGAATATACAAATGAAGAAGTAATCAACAGGGATTCAAATTAATTGTAAATAAAGACCATTTTCAATGAATCGAACATTCTCAGATATATTCCAAAGGGATTGATTGGCCTTTACAATGGGCACAGCTTATATATATTGCTTTGTAAGGATATTATATTTGATGAGTATTTTTTTATTAATAATTTTATCATTTACTAACCTTCAATATATTTTATGTGATTAATTTAATCTAGAATTCCAGTTATTAAAAGCACGGCGTTGAAATCTGCAACTTTAATTTAATATCAAAAAATTATTTAAAGATAGATTTAGATTTAGATTTACAGGCAAGCATGTTTCAATATTTCAAAAATGCAAATATTCATATCGTGATCGCATCATAAATCGCATTGGTTATACTAACATATTTGTATTGTGGTCAGAGACGAAATCATCGCAAAGATCAGAAGGATTCTTCTGGAATTAGACCGGGTCTATTGAGACTAGTGATATCAGCCTTTAATATTGAAAAAACCTTAGCCAGCTAAGAACTTGTATAAATTTTTTTTACCTTGGATAAATAGCATATATTTATATGAATTACCAAAAAAATTTATTGTTTTAAATAATAATAAACAGCTTTTAAACAAAGAATATTATGAATACTATTTTACTAAGTTATATTTTTTTCTTTGTAAATACATTTTTAGCTGAAAACAACCCAAGTAAATCCTTACTTGCGCAGCCAAACTATTTTTTTTTATTCCACCAAACAAGTGGATCTTTTTCAAATAAAATTTGTATACATATTAATATATATACATGTTTGTATATACCTAATATTAAATAAAAGTTAGCCAATAAAATTGTCAACTGTTTGATAACAAAAAGTCTCGTCTATCTTTTATTTGATTATCATCAAAAACAATGATAAGGTTGACTTTTGAGAAATTCCAGAAAAAAAATTGTTTTACAAAAAAGAAAATCAGCTGGATCGAACCTTACATTAGTGCTGATCAATTTATTTTAGTATAGTACGATGCAAAAAGTAGATTAAATCACTACATAGTAAACAAATCTTTTTTTTTAGTAAAACAATTTTTTTTTACTGATGATATTCTTAACAATACTTTGTATTTCATAAAAACCTATTTTTCTTTGAAAAAAAAAAATTTTTTATTTTCGCTATATACACTTTACATTGTCTACCAAATCTTCCCAGGGTAAGTTTTATAATAAAAAAAGTCCACCAAATCTTCCCAACTGTTTACGGTGGGACAAAAATACTATAGAAATAGACAAATAACTGATCTTTATTTAAATATTTTTTTAGAATAATAAATAAACATATATATATATACATATATATATAAATTATAAAAACAAATCAAACCCAAGTACTGAAACTGTTTAATATATTCTAGTCTTTAGTCTTATAGTTTTTGTTTTTTATTTTCAAATTAGGATCAAACTTATAAACGCAATCTGTGCCAACAACATGATTATGAGTAAGGGTTCACGAAGACATGAAGCTCAAAACAATAGAGGCGGAACAAGGTGGAAGAAATTTGTTCTAGTTATCATGAAGCTTGCATTTGTTCAAGTATTTGGAAATTATATATATAACAACCAGAAAGGGGAGGAGGAAATAAAAGTTATGTATAAATAGGAGCATGTGTAAACAATAATAATTTATAATAATAATTTATAATTTTACATTAATTTCTTCACCGAGTTATACTAATTATGTTTAATAATTATTACTGGAATAAAATACACATTCTTGCTGGATTGTAATTAAAGTCTTCCTTTATTACTGGTAGGATCAGAGCCTCGACTGGTGGCAACAACTGAACTTTGGAATGGGAAATATTATGACGCAATGCATAATTCATGACACAATGTCAAATTTTCAATTATGCGTGATACAATTCATAATTTTGATAACATATATAGTAAGAATATACTTCACGTCACCAACTATATGTCTTGCGTCACAGATTATACCTGCGTCACAATTTGTTATGCTAATTATTAATAAATAAAAAGAAAAAACATATGTTAAATTAATAATAGCAAACATACAATATATTTTACAATGAATTATTTGTTTTCTTTTATAGTTATCCTAGTGGGTTTAGCTATTGATTACTTTGCTGACCGTTTGGGTCATGTGATTTTATAGTATTGTGACACCAAAAATAGTGTGTCATTAATTTGAGATGATCAACAAGGGGAAATTTTTTAATAAATAAATTAGCAGTAATGACGAGATTCATATTGGCTTGCCGTGCCATTTGGCGAAAAAATTGGTTTGCAAGTTCCAGTTATTTCATTCCTTTTATATGCAAACGGTTAGATTTTGGTTGTATGTAATAAATCATATTCTATAAAAATCTGGCATACAAGTGGTATTATGAAAATTTTCGTTGCAATTAAAATTTTAAAGGATTCTATAGCCTCTATAACCGGCTTCTGACATGCAATCATTTTTGGCTAGACTTTCATTATGTTTTATATCGACAACGATGAGGCAGACATATTTCATGCACCACCCGAGTGACGAAATGTACATGCATAGAAAATTCATGTAGCTTTTAATGCTTTAGAAAAAGCCAGACACACACAGACCATACAGGTGTTTGTTCCAAACCCCCCATAATGGCATTGTGTATAGGGTCTGTGATATCAAGATTATTTTTTGTTGCTGGCTGAGCCACAAATCCCATGAAAAGGATAAAGAAACTTTGTATTTGGTTGAGGGATATTCAAGGAAAATTAACATTGCGGTAAAGAATTATTTATACCTTTAATAATTGCTCGATTTATCAATGATATTAATTTTGCTGGTTCTCCTCCATATTCGATTATACTAATTTCATACTTGGCAGGTCTAGTTTAGATGCCATATAAAAGTAAAGCCCATTTTCTGGATATTCAAGCTTTAGTATATATAATCTTAAAATTTATTGAACAATTGCAACTAATCTTGTTTGATGAAACGTTACCAAAGTTGTAAAACTAATACGTCAAAGTCACTGTCATCAAGTCAAAAATGACATAAGTAAAATTTCTTTAAAGGCTAATAAAATATAAACTCGCCAAAAAAAACTTATAAATATATATATTCCAAGGTTTTTTTTTCTTGTATATCCACCCAATCTATCCTTTGTTTCATCACTTGTTTCCCAAAGGAGCTAAATTTTTCTTTTGCTGAATACAAATTCAGTTCCCACACACTCATTTACTACTATACTCGAACATTTCTTATATTAATATTAATAACGTGATGCATGATCGGAGCAGATGAAATCATTGATTTAGGGATTCTGAAATTTGAACCTAAATGGGGCAATTACTGCAAGCCAGTATAGAAAAATATGAATTCGGTACTTTATGTTCCAGGTCAACTAATTAGTGTATTGGTATAATTAAATTACTGCGTAAATAATTATTGGAAGGTTTGTAATAATAAACCTTTAATTTTCCATTTTTATTGTAATGATCAACAAAATTTCATTAATATAACTTCAGGTCTTCGCTTGATCGCAGAGGAAATTAATCGATAATTAATATTGTGATAAAATAAAACTCTGTAATAGAATCATTATTTTTAATAAGCTTTTAAAATAAATAAAAATAATAAAGTAGATTTTTATTTTCTTTGTTTAAGCGTTTTGATAAAAGCAACAAGTGTATCTCCTTGGTAAAAAGTAACAATTATGGAACTTTGGTAAAAAGCCACATTTTATTTGCTTTAGTGAGTAATAGTGTTGGTTGCCAAAACTACTTTGAAGAGGCGAAAGTCAAAACTAAAATTAAAAGTTATATGTCAAAGCTAAATCAAAAGTCAATAGTCAAAAATCAAAACTAGTTTTGACTTATGGTGAAACCTTTTGAATTTCGCACGGTTGCAAAACTCTCTAATTTTGGAAACCAACACTAGTGGGTAAGCAAGCAATGTTAGGATTAACGTTGATTAACTAATGAGTGTTAACAACGATTTAGAGATGCGATCCGCGGATATCCGTCATCCGTTCATCCGTCATTTATCTCAAAAAATACATCCGTCGGATTCAAACGGATTATCCGCGGTTTGAACGGATAATTCAGCAATATTAGTATAAAATGTTACAAAAAGAGTAGTAATGCTAATAATTTATGACAATTCATTTATATTTATTATAAAGTTAATTCAGTGGGTGAATACATTCAACACAACTTGCATTTCTTTTTAAAAACAAAATTCGTTTAATTAAATTTCCTGTGGATCCATCTGTTACATAACGTTTTTTACAAGTCTTTTCAGTTGTAATTGGTACTTGGCATTCTGAACCTTTTTTACCACTAGGTAAATTTATTTCTGCAAACCAATTCCACACCCAACTTTTTTTTAATGGTACCTTTTTTAGTTTGTGTTTAGTAATTTTAGTCTGTTCATTAGAAATTACATTTAATACATTTCCATCCAACTCTTCTTCTGAATCTATATAGGTAGGTTCACTCTCATTATCATTACCATTATCATTGCCATTGTAATTATATTTGTTATTATCATTATTCATTGTAAGTAATCTTACAAACTAGTAAAGAAACAACAGCATCAAAAAATGAATTAGATAAAGATGATAAAAAGTATTATATATTTTAAAAATTTTTTTTTTGATGTTACATTATTATTTGTACTATATAGTACATAAAAAATTTTTTTTATTCACATGATATTTTATTTACACAAATCATCCAGACATCCTATAATTTCTAAAATTTCAATCCGCAATCTGTTAGCACTTTAAAAAAGCCATCCATCCATCTGGATTGTTTTGCGGATATCCAGATTGACCATCCACAGATCGCATCTTTAAATAAATAATAGTGATAATATTATAGTAATAAAATAATAAATAGTAGAGTAATAATAATACCAGCAAGTTTAGTACCATCTGAAAAGTTTTTTCATCAACTGGGATTTATTTAAGTTCTTAGGCAGCTAAGCCATTTAAGCCAGCTAAGGGCTAACATCACTATTAGTCAGTCATTCATTTACAATGAAATTATGTGTAAAAAGAAAATTTGCAGCAACCATATCTGTTTGTGGCAGCCTGTAGCAATTTACATTTTATCATGAGTACAATAATGCACAAATAAGAAATAATTAACAGTTATAGGAATATTCAGATAGATGAGATTTTCTTATCATTATAAATAAGTTATTATTTTTAAAAGAATAAAGAATAACTTATATTTTTACTACAATTAAAGTATTTGTTTATAGGAAAGTGCTTAATTAGTTTTGAAGTAATTCTTCACAAATTCTTTTACAATGCCATAGCCATTTATAAGGCTCCAAACGAATCAATGAAATTCAAACTGATTCGAATATATAATTTGATTTGATTCAATTCAAACAGATTTGAATATATAATTTGATTCAAACAGATTCGATTTCAAATTGATTTGATTTGATTCGAAGGGATTTGAATATATAATTTGATACAATTCAAAAAATCTTTATTTTAATGTATATTTTATAATTTTATTTACAAAATTTTTTTTTATTTTATATTTATTTTAGTATAAATATTGTAAAATTCAAAAAAAAATAGTATTATTTTATTATTTTAGATTTAATGAATTGTACAACTGTAAATCGTTACTTTTTTACTTATTATTAATAATATAGGTCATATGACCATTAATATTAATAATGAGAAATCTTTAATTATTAAAAATTTGAATAAATATCATATCAAGAAGAATTTTATTATCAATCATTAAACCATTCTTAGATCTCAATCTATTAGTATTCATTAAATGGAGGCACACTAAATGAGATTCACTGTGTAATATAAATTTAAATTATCAAATCAAAAATATAAATTTGATATGATGTTAAAAAAATTTTAGGAATATGGTTTGATTCAAATCAATTTGAATCGAGTCATGAATCAAATTGAATTGAACCAAATCCTGTTTTTTTGAATTCGAATCAAATCAAATTGACTACAGATCGAATTGAATTGAATCAAATCACTCTCAAATTCGATTCAATTCGATTCGTTCAGAGCCTTAGCCATTTATAACAGCTGTATCTGCTTGTGGCAACCACATCTATCTGTGGTAGTCGTATCTATTTACAGCAGCTGCATCTATTTGTAGCAGTTGTATCTATTTGCAGCAGCCATAAATATTTTATAATGGTGGTTACCATTGCAGCAAATAATTAATCATGGCAGGTGTCTTTAATTGAGATAAACCAAGAGATGAAGAAGGTAAATATTTATCAAAAAAGTATGTCATATTTATATATGAAGTTGAAATTAAAACCCCAAAGTCAAAATGTTTCAATTTGAGGCAAATACATAGTAATGACCCTATTTTGACCAGATCTGCAAATGGTCAAAATAGTTTCAACTTCATGTATAGTCAGTCATATTAATAATAAAATTGATGATGAAGATAATGTGATGCAGAAAGAGGAAGAAAAAGAGTCAGATAATTTGGATGATATTGACAGTAATGAAAAATGGGGAAATGATGATGATAGTGGTTGGGAAAATGTAGAAGATATCAAAGAAGAGAACAAAAATATATGCATGGAGTTGGTTGAATATGCAATGAAAAAGTATAAGTCATATAGAAGAATTCCTGACTATGTTATTCAGGAATTGAATAATAAAAAATAGATTTTAATTTTTTCCCTTCTAATTATTTTTATTTCTAATAGTTTCTATATTAGAGGCCTGCATGGATAACAATAATTGAACCTGTATCCAACTCATACCCACATGATATTAAAATTTGTACCTATACCAAACCTGTTCCTCAAAATTTTATATCCAAACCCAACACATACCAAAAAAAATTTTAACCAAACCGAGAATATACCATACCTTTTTTTATTTAAAAAAAATATAAAAAGTACAATAAAAAAAATTTTTAATTAAGAATTACTATTGAAAACACTACATAAACAAGAACACTACTCCACAAAACTCTCCAGGAGTGGGATCAATCACTGAAATTTCATCAAATGTTATATCCTCCACTGCTGTTGTGATATCATACACTGCCATTAACTTTTGTGTTTTTACAGAATTCATGGCAGAAATAGTAAAAACTTCATCTTTCTCTTGTCTCCTCCTTATTGAATTTACAGTGTTATTGATATCGTGGAGCATTTCTATAATATAAAGGAAGGGAGAATTGGCAATCATTTGAAAGATATGAATTGATTGATTGAAATGAATGATGAAGGGTTGAAGGGGAAAGCCATAACAGATAAGTGGATGGACACATTAGCCAAAACTTAAAAAAATAATATTAAATTGTAAAAGAAAGAAAATGAAGAAGGAATGCAACAAATGATGAAAACTGATCTTAACTATTTCTTGATTATAAAGTAGTGATATAGTAAGGCAGATTGGTGATTGATCAAAGAAAAGGACAGATTAGTAAATATCATCCAATGGAATAAATAGAAATAAATTCATGTGTATTTGTCAGCATTTGTAACATAAAATCTTTACCAATACTTTTTTCTTCTAAATTTGTCCTTAAAGAAAATAATTGTATTAGAAAAATTTTTTTTCTATATATAGCAATTAATTACTATCAAAATAAATACTTTTATTATTTACATTTTCTTTATTGTGACTCTGAATTTTCCTTAGCTAATACTTTTTTTATGTCTTCTTTTTTAAAAGAAACTAGAGTTACAATGTGTGGCAATAACCACCACCACCATTCTTTTGATAAACATTTACTTGTGGATGGCACCAGTATTGTTTTGTGTTTTTCTTTTTTTACTTTCTTTAGGCATTTTTTAAAAAAAAAGCACAAAAGAATTAAAAGAATTAGAATTATTTGATTGACAAATGTGTACACATTAATTATTTTTATTATTGGCACTTGGTGTTGTACAATGATTTTTTTTTTGTCAACACAACCTTTTTTTTGGAAAAACAATGACAAAACACGGTTTTCCTAAAGAAGATGTGTTAATGACAAAGGTACTTTTTTTTACTTGTATTGATATAATGTGGTGTCTTTTAGTTCATAAATATTATAATGGGAATCAAACACAGAGCAGCACTTGCTGGTAATTATAAGATTCTTATCAAGATTGCATATTTTGCTATTCATAATCAATATTAATAATAACATTAATATTAAATAATAATAATAAAAAAATAATTACAAGATGTAAAGGCAGCACACCATTGAAAAAGAAACATTTCAAGTATGTGATGTTTGATTATTGGAAATTGGCAGACATTGAAGCACTCATGCTGCCTTTGAACACTTTACAGTCATCCTCACGCATTTCTTGCACACAAAAGGTTAATCTGACCTGCTCCGCCCTATGGATATGATGCAACCAAATACTGGGGGGAGGTGCAAGGCCCTGGAGTTTATCAAGACTGCACCAATAGTCAATGATGCTTTTCACTAATCTTCCCTCACAGCACCCAGACCAGAAATGGCCACTGGCATGCTGGCTGAAAAATTGCAACTCTGGAGGAATATCAAGATAATCTGCAACTTGTTTCAAGCTCAGGAGGTCACAATTAAGAGCAGGGTTGGTGACCCTGAAATTGCATTTGGACTCTCATGTTAAAAGGAAAGTTGTAAAATAGTGTTTGTTTGTATAATCATTTTCCTAAATGCTCTGTTTCTTTGGTTTATAATTTTGGGTAGGGGTTTTTGCCCAATCAGTCCTCTGTCCTATAGATTAAAATTATTGCATAATTATATATATCTTTGTCAGCAATATGGCCAACAAGGAAAAAGTTATAAAATGGTTTGGATTTTGTTATAAATTAATCATATTCCCAAATTCTCTGTTTTCTTTTGATTTTTATTTGACCAACTGAACTTGATATTTTTTAAATGGAGGCTTTTTCCCAGTAACCCACCCTAAGTTAAAGGAGTGTAGCTCAATGAGAGCATGTATCTTACAAGTATAAAGGTGGCAGTTCGATTCTGCCCACTCCTATTGTGATAGTTGCAATGATCACTGGCATCAAGGAGAAAACTAAAATAAAACGGTTCAGATTTTGTTTGCTATGTTATAAATTAATCATTTTCCCAAATTTTCTGTTTCTCTTTAATCTTTGTTTGACCAACTGAACTTTAAATAAATGGGGTGTAAGAATTACTTTTCTTAACGAAAATAAAAACAATATTATAACACGTTCGTCGAACAGGTACTTTAATTATTGTAAAAATACAAGTTATCTTTATTATCTTAAAAATGATGTCCTTTATATAATAAAATTACATAGATTGATATGATATAAATAAAATATAAATAATAATAAAAGATTGATAAAATATAAATAAAATAATCATAATAATTCTTATCAATCTATCTGGAAGATTTGTGGACATAGATAAGTAATAAATAATAATTAAAGACACGAAATAATTGATGTTACAAATAATAATTAATTATGTGTCATGTTTCCAGATGTAAATATTATTGTACTACATAAGACGTTGTATATGATTACGAAGTAAATTGTTACATGGGGGTAGGGTTGTTGGTGAGCAGACATGCCACAAACAAGACAGCAACCCAAGACTCAAAACCCTGAATCCAAAACAGCAACCCAGGTTGCAATTAAGGTTTCTGAACAAAGCTCCCTTTATTAGTAGCCGAAATTGCCAAAACACTTTGGGCAAAAATTACTTTTTTATACAGTGTTGGCATATGACAAGGTCATATACCCTTTATGACAAATGACCAAGTCATTTAGTCATATGACATGCAGTCATCGGTCATTTGTCATTTGTTGTAAATGACCTGGTCATATGACTATTATGACCAATGGTCATATACTATGATCATCAGTCATTTGTCATTTGTCATAAATTAGCCAATCAATTAACAGAACGTTTCCCAATATAAAATACCTTTACTTTAAATATTTTTATAAAGATGTTCAATTAATGCCAAAACTTCTCGTAAAAAAAACACCACTTTACCTGAAGCAAGTAAAAAAAAATTAAATACTTAACAAAGAATGCTTAATCCACATTGTTACAGAGAATTTTTTATTTTAATAAATAATCCTAATAATAAAACTAATGCAAGAGCAGTATGCAAGTATTGTAGTGAAAAAAATGGTGGTGCTCAAGCTGCAGCTTTAATACCTGGATGTTATACAACAAATAAAGCAATTCTTTGTCGTTCTCATTTATCAAATTGCATTAATTTTAAAAATGCATTCAATAATGATGAAATATCTGAAATCTTATCACGCCCAGTAGCAGAAGAGAAAAGAAAATTGAAAAATAATAATAATGATGCAGGTAATGATTAATTAATATATTATTAAAATAGAAGAAGGCATAATAATATGATTTAATGATAATATAATATTTATTTTTAATAAATGTTAATATAATTTTAATAAATGATAATATAATTTTAATAAATGATAATATAATATTTATTTTTAATAAATGATAATTAATATAATTTTAATAAATGATAATATAATTTCAATAAATAATAAAGTTGAACAGAACAAACCTAAACGTCAAAAAAATATTACAAATGATACTTCAACAGCATCATCAATTATTCAAAAACAACCATTGATTTCTGGTTACCTTCGAAGACCAATGTCTCAGAAAGATATCCCTTATTTAGAAAACTTGATTCTTAGGATGTGTGTGTCCAATGGTTTACCTTTTTCATTTATAGAAAATGAGGATACCAAAGCATTTTTTAATTTTTTGGCACCTGGCATTGAACTTCCAACACGTAAAAAACTTGGTGAACAAATTTTGCTAAACACATCTAAAAATCTACAAGAATCAATCATTAAAATTGCTCAATCAGATGAAAATGGAGTAACTGTTGCTGTTGATGGTTGGTGTCAAATGTAAAACAAGAGAAGCTATGGGGAGTAGTACTGGTTACATCAAATGGGAAACCATTAATCTGGGGTGCTCAAGAAACTACTTCTGAAAGATCACAAACACAAGATGTCATACATCATTTTGAAAACTTGATGAATGAACTTAATGATAAAAACATAAATGTTACAGCATTTATATCTGATTCTGCTGGGGAGTATGTTGCAGCCAGGTGTGTGATTAAAATAACTATTGATTCAAATTTTACATATATTACATTAATTTTTACAATTTAAATTTAAATTAGAAAAATTTTACGAAGAAAATATCCTGATAAAATATTTCTTCCTTGCAGCTCACCAGATGAATTTGGTATTTGCTGAAATATTTAAAGAAAGTCCTATTTTTGAAAGAATATCTGAAGAGGCAGTTCGGATTGTTAGTTTTTTCCATAAATCTGGTTATTTTATGGGTAATCTTCGAGATGAGCAAATAAGGATTTATAAAAAATCAATAAAATTGGCTTTACCTAGTGACACTAAAAAATGAGCAAAAATAATATCTTCGTAATCCAGGAGCAGCAGCAACAACAAACATCTACACCACTGCCACCACCTCATCCTTGTGCTCCTCAGGCTCCTCAGGCTCCTCATGCTCCTCATGCCCCCGTGCTGGGCCAACGAACCAGGATTTGCTGGTTCAAATCCAGCAACAACAGCAAAAACAGCAACAACAATTACAACAACAACAACAACAACAACAAGAACAACAACAACAACAACAACAACAACAAAATCAACAATTACAACAACAACTACAACAACTACAACAACAACAAAATCAACAATTACAACAACAACTACAACAACTACTACAACAACAAAATCAACAACAACAACAATTACAACAACAACAACAACAAATACAACAACAACAAATACAACAACAACAAGAACAACTACAACAAGAACAACAAGAACAACAACAACTAGAACAACAACTACAACGACAATTACAACAGCACCGATACGAATTATCCCAAATCTATTATGTTGTTGTTTTTGGTGCAATTTTTTTTTCTTTATTTTATATTTTTTATAAATAAATTCATATTTTTATTATTAAGAATGATTTCGTTTGCATATGTGCATATTTACGTTTTTACCAAAATATACATTGATTTTATTATCTACTGAAAATAAGAAAGATTCAGGATGTTAAACCCACACAACCTATAAACAATTTTTGCAAAAGACTTGTAAATACCCACTCTTTGTACATGTACATACCTACGTTTTTACCAAAATATACGTTGAGTTTTATTATTTACTGAAAAATAAGAATGATTCGGGATGTTAAACTCACACAACCTATAAAGGATTTTTGCAAAAGACTTGTAAATGCCCATCTCTTTGCACATGTACATATTTACGTTTTCACCAAAATATACATTGAGTTTTATTATTTACTGAAAAATAAGATGATTCGGGATGTTAAACTCACACAATCTATGAAAGGATTTTTGCGATCGACCTGTTACCCATGTCTTCGCACGTGAATATATATGCGCATAATTGTGCTCTGTGAGTATCGAACTCGCTACCAATTCACATTTGGATGAGAAATAACAATAGTTGCAAATTTTCCCCAATTGCTTTTGCAATTTTATAATGTGATTTTATATATATAATTGCAACAATTCATTGATTATAACCTTCAAATAATTTAATTGATAAATTCTAAAAATAACTAATACCACAAAGTAAAACAATGATAATTTGTTTATTAAAGATGCCAGAATCAAATATAAACCCGATTTTTATCAATGCTTCATATTTTACAGTAAAACAAATTTATGTTCTTTATTCACTGAATTGGGATCAAAAGAAGTGATTAAATCAATATAAATACAAAGTATTTTTACCAAGCTATACTAATAAAATAAAAACAAAAATATCTCAAACACACACAATAAAATTATACATACAAAACGTAATCAATTTTTTAAATATATACATAAACATTTTAAATTGTACACACAAAATATTGATCAAGCAAATTGTTTTTTTAATCCTATATTGAAATATAAAATTTACAATGCCTCCTAAAAAACAAAATATTCATTTAAAAAAAGCAAGAGACTCACAGGTTTTTGATTCTTCAAACTTTGATATAAATAGCAATGATGAAACAATTTATGACTCTGAAACAATAATTGATTCAGATGAAACTGAATTATCATCTGACAATGAATCAAATGATGAAATTTGGTATGACGCGACTTTTGAGGGTGATTTTAACATGGCTTCCCCTTCAATTTTTGATGAAATGATGGCAGCAAGTGCAAGTGCAAGTTCTAGTTCAAAAAGACCTCTTGTTTATATTGGTAATGCTGCACGCACAATTAGGTGAAAAAATGTTGAATTTAAAGCTGCTGCTGCAAACACCAATACATTGACATCATTTTTTCCAAAAATAGATTCTCCAGATGATGTTGTAGTTGATGGTAATGATGACCTAATGACTGTTGATTCTTTAGGTGATCTTGGTGAAGTAGAAGCAATTAAAAAATTCAAGGATGCTTTGTCAACATTATCAGCTCTAGAAAAAGATAAAAATATTGATCTTGGTGTTAAGTCACGCATCCAAGCAATGTGCCAATTTTTTAGATTACGCACTAAAAATTATGGTGCATATGATGCAAGCCAAATAATTGCAGAGAGTATTGGTGCAAAACCTTGGCATGCCCATTTGATTAGAACATGGTCTAATCAATTCCTAAAGGATGGTGCACTCCCAATTTCAAGAAGAGGAAAATACCAAAAGGTCAAAAGTTTAGTGCATGACGAAGACCTTCATGGATTACTTATGGAATACCTTTGGTCAAAAAAAAATGATGTTAATGTTAAAGATTTTAAAAAACATATTGAAGAAGAATTATTTCCTTCAATTGGAATTGAAGAAAAAAAAGAGATAAGTGAAACAACTGTATGTGTATGGCTGAGAAAACTTGGATGGAATCACCAGAAAATTCGTAAAGATATCTATTTGGATGGACATGAAAGGCCTGATGTGATCCTTGCAAGAAAAAATTTTCTTGAAAAATTAAGTTCCTTTGAAAAATTGATGCCTACCCCTGATGAAGATGATGTTATGGTTCTTAATGAACCAATACTTGCACCTGGAGAAAAAAAGCATATAATGGTGGTCCATGATGAATCTATCTTCTATGCCAATGATGGTAAAAAAACTTATTGGGGACTAAACAACCACATTCCTTTAAAAAAAAAAGGAATGGGTTTAAGTCTTCATGTCAGTGATTTTTTAACTGAGGTAGGAGGACGATTAAAATTTGCTGAAGATGAAGCTTGTGTTATAATAAAACCTGGGGTAAACCGTGATGGATGGTGGAATTCACAAGATCTTGTTGAACAGATTGAAAAAAAAGCAATTCCGATTTTTGAAAAATGTTTTCCAGATGCAGTTGGTGTATTTGCATTTGACAATGCTACCAGCCATTCATGCTTTGCTAATGATGCTTTAATTGCTACTAGAATGAACCTTGGACCTGGTGGTAGTGATAAATACACCTTTAGAGATGGACAACCTCAAAAAATGCACTTAGAAGATGGAAAGCAAAAAGGAATTATGACAATTTTAAAAGAACGTAACCTTTGGCCACCAACTGACAAGCTTATTCGTCTATGTGAGGATTGTAAAAAACATACTTCAACAAGGGAAGGTTGTTGTGCTGTTCGAATTCTTTCTTTTGCTTTGCTAATGATGCTTTAATTGCTACTAGAATGAACCTTGGACCTGGTGGTAGTGATAAATACACCTTTAGAGATGGACAACCTCAAAAAATGCACTTAGAAGATGGAAAGCAAAAAGGAATTATGACAATTTTAAAAGAACGTAACCTTTGGCCACCAACTGACAAGCTTATTCGTCTATGTGAGGATTGTAAAAAACATACTTCAACAAGGGAAGGTTGTTGTGCTGTTCGAATTCTTTCTTTACAACCTGATTTTGCTTCTCAACGCCCTCTAATACAAGAGATTATTGAAAACCATGGACATAAAGTAATTTTCTTTCCTAAATTTCAACTTCATTGAATATTTTTGGGGAGCTGCAAAAAGATACACTCGGAATAATTGTGATTACACCTTTAATTGCCGATCCGTCTATGAATCAGAGCATTTTATTAAATAAATTTTGGGGCGATCATCATATAAAAACTTCTGAATGCGCAAGAACTATCCATAAAGTTAACACAAACACAATAATGTAACTTAAAAAAAAGTCATGTGAAAGAATAAATAAAAACCTATAGTTTTTAAAAAACCAAAAAAATTCATAATAAAATAAAATTTCGGAAAGCTTTATTATAGAGGAAAGTGAGATTTGATAGACTAAAACATAATAAAATTTTAAAAAAATTTATAATTTCAAATTCATTACTTCCCAGAATTTTTTATTTTTTGTCTTTTCTGTTTCTCATGAGCACTTCCTCCATCATTTTCAAAACCTATACTACTTTTGTTATTCTCCGCTACTCTCTTTTCTGCTGATTCTCTACGTAAGGTTGCTGAATATCTTGTAATCCATCCTTCAATAGTTTTGATTTCTGGTACTTCCTCTTCTTGAATTTCACCTTCTTCCATTAGTTTCTTTAACTCCACCATCATATCTTTTGCTGACATTCTATCTGTTTTGCTTACATTTCCCCCCAAAAAAAATCCTTCCAAATAAGTTCTAACTTTTGATGTTATACGTTTTCCACTACCACGTTGACCATATTTATGATTACTCCTGAGAGTCCATCCTTTTTCTAATTGAAATTTTTCATTTATATCTAAAAAAAAAATTTATTACAATTTTAGAAATAATTCTTGTTCTTAATAATACAATAATAAAAGGTAGGTCAATACTTATAGGATGCATTGGATCATTATTATCATTATTTATAATTTCTAACTTATTCTTATTCTTTTTATCTATGAAAGACCATTCAAATATTAGAATTATTTGTTATATCTCAATTATAAATATTTTTAATAGTTTACCTTCAACTATAGGATAACTCCATATTGAATTTGGTATGGTATGATTTGAAATATCTGGATTTGGCTTGTGTAATGGTTCTTTGGTCAATTTTGATATATCAGCAGAAGAATAACGTGACCATGCACCTATATGTGGAAGAGTTTGTGCCTGAATATAACCAGAAAATAATCCTTCAATTGGCCACTCAAAATAGGACAGATTTGAAATTCCAGGAATGGTTTTTACAGGAATGTGGTCACGTTTGGGTTCAATATGAGCAACTGAGGTTCCACCTAAATCTTTGATTGCTGGTTCTATTTTTTCACCATCATCCAAGTTGTAACCAACTCGTACATATCTTTTTATGGCATGGGATATCTAAAAGAGAAGTATTTTTATTTGATTAAAATTCTTTTATTTGTATATTCAATTTCACTATAATATCTTACTTGTGCATGGTGTGAATCAACAGTGGTTTTTGCTTCACCAGGCTCAAGAAACTGCCACCTGCGAATGTCTATATTGTACCATTGATTCCAATTTGCAATAATGGTCATTAATTCGGAATTGTGATAGTGGCCACCATTGTCTGAAAAAATTTTGATCCATTTTGGCTTGGGGTCCAATGTTTCAAAAACTGCATCAAAAGATGATGCTGTAAACCAAGCATCTTGTTTGGTATCAGTGGACCAATGATCATATGCATGAATCTCTAATTGGGTGGCTTCGTTTTTTGTGAAAACTAAAATTGTGTGAAGTGTCCATCCTCTCTTTCCAAAGAACTGCTCCTTGGTTTCACGTGCACTCTTAGGTAAGATTCTCATCTTATAATCACATATTAGAATTGCACCATTTTCATCAAGTTCTAAAAGCTTTGCTTTAAATTGATTATTTAAATAGAATTTTCTTGCCTGGTGAGCTAAAAAATAATATAATTTATATCTTGACTCTTCAATTGTGTTCCGAAGATTTTCAGGCAGAAGTTAAAAAACAGAATAGAGAGGAGAAAACAGAACCAGTTAATAATAAAAATGGGAATTTGGGGAAGTATAACTACCAATTTTTCAATAAACTCAAATAACTGATCACACATCATGCAACGAGTATAATGTTCTTGTGTACATTCTCCAAATGCATACAAGAAGCAATGGTTTATTGTATTTACATGAGGTATTGTGCCATTTTCATTTATTGTAAGCTCATTTTCAAAACCTCTTTTTAGATGGTGTCGTAATTTTTCAAGTTCACTTATTAATTTATTCTATAAAAAAAAACATTGAAGCTTGTTAATAAAAACAAATTTAAAAAAAAAAAATTTTTTTAATAGTAAAATTAGTTACAGTCAAACCTCACTTCAATGAATCTTGTTCCAACCAACAAATTGAATTATAATTAAATTCGTGTACAACAAATGACGATAATAATAAAATTCACATACAACGGATAATATTATAATAATTAATTCGCGTTACAACAAATCTTTAAAATTTTTGCTTCACATATAATGGATTTAGATGCAATTTTCTTGTGTGTTCCCATAGATTCATTGAAACAAGGTTTAACTGTACATATTTTATTTTCTGAATTATATACCTGTAATCCCTTTTCTACATTTAATTGTATTAGATTAATTAAATTATTAAATACTTCATAACAATATTCATTACAGATATTGCACAATCCTCCTAAATCCTCTCTATATACATAATGACCACTTGCCAAACGTGCCATGAAAGATGTCCTTTTAATACCATCAGGATAAGTTGCTTTAAATTTTTGCCAAAGAGCTTGCTTTGCTAATGATGCTTTAATTGCTACTAGAATGAACCTTGGACCTGGTGGTAGTGATAAATACACCTTT